CTGCACACCTCTCAGAATATCGCTGATAAAACTGTTCTGTTCGCGAACAAATAGATTAACGAAACTGTCGCGAGACACCTGACGAAATTACAAGTCATCGGTGTTCGCGGAACAACACTTTACGTCGCGATCGCATCTCGCTGCTCGATAGTCGTGATAGGGAGGCTGCTCTCGCCGAAGGGAATGGAGCGGGACGCGCTCTCTCGTGAGACACGGAGAGAGAGGACGCGACGCGCGTGAATGCGTGCGAATCTGCACGCGAGCTCCCTCGGACCTGCCGTGCAACGCGGCTTGCACGTGCAGCGGCCGCCGCGCGGAATTTATTGCGACTCGCGCTCGCATGCATCGGCAGCTCCTCGCAACGCGAATCCGGCAAATGCGTCGTAATTTTCGGAGGAATTGTTCGGAGGCTGCTCGTAAAAATGCGTCGGGATTTTTCAAAACCGCCGCATGAGGGGCGGGGAAATTTTTTCACGGTTACTATAATCCGCAATTGTTGCTAAAATAATTATTTCCCGCCGTTAACAATGAAAGGATAATGAACTACTGCAGAATGTCGATCTTTTCTTTGGCTACAAAATCCTACAGTAATTTTTCCTATAAGATTCTCTCCGTCTATTTTTCTGTTGGAACCACAAAAGGGTGTAGGTGACGCCGAAAGTGACAATAATTTTAATGAGGTTAGTCATTTTTTTCTCAGTGCGTAAATCCCGATCACAAGGAGAGTGTCCAAACATTTTCGGCAACAAGCCGAAAAACGCGCAATGTGCTTTATACGAATAACGGAGATTCGCGCGTGTCGCGCGAGTTTATCGGAAATCCCGTATAAAGAGTCGAGTAGTAGGGTCGCCGGGCAAACGTAATTAACGTGCGCACAGGCTCGGGCAGCGGCGCCCTTGCGAGCCATTTCAACCCTTTTACCAGACGACCGTGACGTGCGCAACGATTCCGCGCGGCACGGATGGATCGGGAGCAGCTGACCATTATGCTGGCCAGGGGGTTGAAGCTGTCTGGCACTCCTGCTCTCCGCTCGCCCTTGCCGGGGGATCGGATTAAAAAGAGAACGTAGAAAGATAAAACCGGACGGCAGATGGGATGTTTACGGCCGTACAGGACGAGCGATGCATTGTTATCGTGGCGCAGCGCGCAGCAGCGAATCTGTCCGGGTTCTCTATCTCTCTCTTCCCTCCCCCCTCTTTCTTTCGAGCTCGGCGACAGATTTGACGATATATATCATAACACGCCTCTTAATGCGTAAATCTTTATACGGTGATCTTAATGCGTAGATCTTTATGTTGATATCCCATGTGAAAGTCCGGAGAAAAAATAAGAAATGTTTAGATACAAAAATTATTAGTGTGGAAAAGAGGAAAGGAAAGCATAAGTAGAAAAAGTAAAATTAATTATCAGGGGAGGAAGTAGGGAAGTGAATATACCCAAAAAATATTTTTAGTGGAAATTTTTATAAAATCAAAGGCTTGGAGGAAAATTCTTCAAAGGAAGAATATTCTAAGTGTAATATTCTTAAAGTTGGAGGAATTTCGTCTTTCATCTTCAATGCAAAAGTCTTGTTCTTGATAAAAATTTTGTCTAGTAAAAGGACATTCTGCTTCAACCATATTCCTCTTGATTTGAAGAAAGTTACAATAGTATTTATATAATAGATTTTCGATTAATAATTCATTTCATTACAAGAAGAATATTCTCTCGGTTAAAAGTTTTCGTTTAGAACATGGAATTATAAGAAACAGCATTTGTTATCACTTAGTAAAAGAATGCGCGAGCTCTCTGCTCAATTCGACCAGTTATCGAATCCGTTAAATATTAAATAAGACCGGTTGCATACAATGCAACCAAAGTCACTATCGTTCCTTGTAGCCTTTAAATCGCTATTACGTCTATCGCTGCGGTCACGCAATTTCATTTCCACATGCGAGCAATTAGCAGCGGGCACCTGAACGTGCTAACGTCGGCGTATATATAAGAGAAACAATCTCGCGCGCGGTTATAATTTAATCGCCCAACACGGCTCGCGCGCGCGCGTTGCGACACAGTGAGAAATGATTACCGTCTGGAAGTTAATGGTGAGCCACTTTCCCAAGGACTTTTAATCAAACAGGCCGTTACCCGCGAATTCAGGGGCCCCTTGAAATTCGCCGTTCATTGCGCAAAGCTTACGAGCGTCTCCAGGAGCGGATTTAGGAAACGGATTTGCGAAGCGGATTTAGGAAACGGATTTACGAAGCGGAGATAAACACTTATACCTCCGAAAGGGGAAAAATTGTTCGAGCAAAATATGCCGTAGATGTATATCATTTTAATGAACTTCAACACGTCTATATCCTTATCGCGAAGAGATTATCTCCACAACCATATTCGAGATCTTGGAGTCTGAAGAGTCGGGCTGTTGACTTTCGCGTTTACATCGTCCAAATGGAGAATTTCTGTCGTGTATGTACACATCTTAGAAGTTTGGTTTACTCGTTCGTAACGAACCTTTTTGTCTGTCTACTTGAGCTTTCTCCCTCTAATATTTGAAGACTGAATCCGCCCCTGCTTGGTGCGGTGAGAACCTTTCGTTCGACATCGTCTAGATGGTCGCCGTCCGTATCCCGTCCGCGGCTGAGAACGGTATGGACGGGTCGCCTTATACGGTTGGCATTTATGCGAGTTGGCGTGCTTTTTAGACGCCGCGCTTTGAGGCCGTATCAACGAATTGCGTAACATTTTTGCAGCCGGCCGGCCGGCCAGCACAACGCGACGGTGCGATGCTCGTGCGAGCATAACCGCACCGACGCAGCTATATAGCCGCCTGCGCAGCGAATCGTTAAGAGCGGAAAGCCAACGTGTCCAGTTTTTCCGCGGAGGTGACTTTTTTTATGAAACAGACGATGACGACGACGATTCGTCGTGGTTATCAAACTCCGCTCCGAGTACAATTGCGCTCGCATCAGGTTTCTACGTCCGTCGTTGCAACTGCGTGCGCGGAGGTTTATTATTTGGTTTGAATAATTCGAGTAAGAATTTCACACATTGTGCATCACTGATAGGCACATGCAATTGTACGTTCTTGAATGCACGGCAGTGCGCCTGCGCGAGAAAGCGACGTTACTACCAACACTGCTGCTATGAACCAACTTTCGGAAAGCGACTATTGAAAATCTGAAATGTTTTACAAAATTTTGGGAAAGTTACTGAGGGAACAGAAAAACGTTTCTTCAAAGTATGCGATAGTACTTGACGAGATACGTCATTTCAATCTCCAAAAGTGGGTTTAGCGCAATGATGGTAGCAGGCTCGCTTTCTCGCGCATACGCACGGTGGGCTCGGTGAGTATGTGGGTTCATCTTGGGACTTACATATTTGTAATCCATAAACTATAAAATAAAATCGATCAAGATTCAAAGCTCTTTCTGTATAAAGTGAGCTATTAACCTTGGTCGTACTCTTTACCATGTTCCTTAGTAAGATAAATCTTACTAGCAGTCTATTCCTGGACTAAAAACATTGCAAAATTGGAAAGAATTTATATGAAAATAAAGACTGTAATATTGTCTGCGTGTAGATAAAAGCTAATTTTTAATTATAGAATAAGATGTAGCTCATGTTTTCTGTTATCCTAATATGGAATTTCCTCAATTCCGTGTGATTGCGCGTTAAAGGCTACAGGCAGGAGGAGCGTGTTAAGCCCAGGCTACAATCACGCTTGCGCTCGCGCGCGTCCCCGTAAGATACGTCGGCGACACTGAACAACCCTGCGTTAAACGCGTGCCGTGGCCGGCGATAAGCGTAAATTGCTACAACGCGCGAGCGTGTCTGGCCTTAAACGGATTCGCGCGCGCATATACGTTTCGGGAATAGATAGCCGAAGCGCACCGGATACGCGTTGCGCTGCGCTTCGGCGCGAAAGTCGTAAAACGCATCGGCCGGTGAAACCTTTGACGCGACCTCTCCGCGAGAGAGCAAGCTGCGAACATAAGCCGCGGTCGAAAAGAAGAAGAGAGGAGAGTGTGAAATATAATGTACACACACGCGCGCGCATACACACGCACGCGCACGCACCAGAGATGCGAGTGAGGAGAATATTCTCTAACGGGCGACTCGCCGCGACGCAACAAACACACTCGCCCTTTCTTAAAATAAACTCCACGGCACCGTTTAACGAAGCGACGTAAATTATGCATCTCCGTTCGTCTCCACAAGCGTATTGCGCCGTGCCGCGCCTCGTTCTCAGCTCTAACGTTACTTCAAGGCTAGCCCGATACGATAAAGCGACGGGATTACGAATAGCGTAATTCGCGATAATAGACGACGGATAAAGGGACGAGCGGCGCGCCTCAACGGGATCGATAAGCCCCCGGTGAAGTGTCCAGTAGATAAATCCCGGCAACGCGCGTGTACTCGGCCGCGAAGACGAAAAGCTCTCACAGCTTTCTCTTCATTCGGCATTCGTATGCACGCGCATCTGGACTTTCTATTTCGCCTCGTCTTGCGATTCACAACTTATCACGGAGGATGACATTGGTGCCGTCGGCCCCAATTATATCTCACTTATCGAGAAAGAGAGAGCTTTATCGCGCCGCTAGATATTAGAACGATCGAATTAACATCCGGCATTTCTGCAGAGAGATATTCTTACTTGGAAAGTATCTTTACATTTGACATGCTAATAGAATTACATAACGTTAAACGAAGATAAGTTATTTGTAAGATTACGTTTCATATGATTCAACGAAGAAAAATCTGTATTCTTATTATTGAAAAATAATTTGCACTGTGTATCGTATTGCGATAATGTTTTCATTAATATGCTGTTAAAATTGAAAAATATTGCGGACTAACTATTCTAAGGTAGTTACTAGCTACTCGCTGCGGCCATCTTGATTGATGATGTCAGAAGCGAGAGATTTGGGTGTACATTTCCTCGCTTCTGACGTCATCAATCAAGAGTTCCGCGGCGAGTAGTCAGGAGTCTTAATTATATGACAACTTTATCTCACCTCAGCGTGGTCCGTTCAACTTGGCAGGTGATAAACCAGTTCGAGTTCTTAATGGACGACACAGACCGAACCGCGATTCGCGGCCGTGTTTCAGACGGTTGTCGTGCGTCGTTCGCGAAAACGAGCACCGATGCAATTATCGCGCAGCTGCAGCGGCGTGCTCGAGCTCGACAAACGCGTCCCGCTGTGATAAACTGCTGTTTATTTTGCGACATTCGATCGTACGGGGGTTCAGATCGCATCCTTCGAGTTGGCAGGCAGCGTTATCGGCGGCCAAGAGTCGCCGAGTAATCCGATTAAGACCGGCGGAAGTGAACGACACCGCCGTCGCCGGTCAACCGTCTTCCCGTAACTCAATCCTTGGAGCGAGGATATTTTTCGCCGCGTGTACTTATCGAAGATTATCGGTTTCAGTTTTACACGGGAGCGAAATGCTACGCCGTGCGGATGTTATCATTCGCGTAGAAATTTCTCAGGCTTTTGCCAGATGCAGCACAGATAGATTAAAATGATTTGCCTCAAAATTGGATATCCCACTCCGATATATCGGCAATTCCATTTCCCCTCCGAAAATTTCCCAAATATTTCCAAGTATAGCTAAATCCTGATTGTCCAGACTTGTTCCAAATAGGTGTATCGTATTACGATGCAAATTGAGAATCTTATCCCAACTACAGAAAATATTTTAGGATCTTATTGAGATCGATTTCCCACTTGGAAATACAGCTAAAGTTGGAAGTAGGAGACTCAAGGGTAAAAAAATTTATTTAATAAATAATGTCCTAATAAATTTGTATATTTCATAATTTAATTTTAATTCAATTAACATGTGGCTCTAATTAATTTTAATAATTGAATTAATTTTAAAATAAATTTTTCATTTCCCGCTCGAAGTTCTTCGAGGAACTTTCGGAGATTTCGCACCGAGTGATATTTTATCGATGATTAAATACATCTCTTCAAAGCGTGCGCTCATCATTTAGCTTCGCTATTGGAAACCTCAGCCGTGTTTATACAGACAACATCGCATCCGCGCAGTCATTACTATCATCTCGGGAACTCATATACACAGGAACGAAAGAAGAGCCATCCATAAAGTCCGCGGGACCATCCGCTTTAGAGAGAGCCGTTCATTCGACGTAATCCCTTAGTCGCTTCACAAGCACGACGTACTTCTCCGCGCGCGTTAAATTAAACAACGCGACTCGATGCGAGGCGTAATCGCTCGATAACGCGTCGGGCGAGGGAATATCTCGCGATAATCGAGCTCGATTGAAAAATCGAATAGCCGCCGGCGGCTCTTCGCCCGCAGCAGGAACGCGCTCACGTTCACATTTGCCGCGTCTTAAATTAGTTTCCATCCGACCGTTAATGAGACGGCGAACTGATTCAATTGAGCGGCCCTGCGCCTCGTCGACTTGGCGAACTGTCGCGTCTCTATGATCGAACTCGGGAACTTTCTGCCGCGGGAACACGCGAAGGCGAGAGTGCGCGCGGAGGAATGGACGCCAGGAGGGTTACAGAGGGAGAGGATGCAAGAACTGTGGGAGCCCACGATCGTCTGTACGTGCCTTGTAACCGAGATACTCGCCGCATTTAACCTCCTCTCGCGTTCGACGCCGGCGGATACGGCGAGCCCGACGAGTTCGTCGATGATGATGCATGGAGCCGAAATGATGAAAGAAGCGGCGGAGGCGCGCGTTTAGCCGTGGACGATTTATTTTCGTTTGTCATTCGCCCATCGAAAGGGCGGCAGCGTGCCCTCGCAGCGGCAGCTGCGGCCGGTTAGACGCACACGACGAGGAAGTCGCGAGAAACCGCCGGGAAATCCAAGTTATTTGTTTTCTTCCATAATTGAACCGTAATTGCTTCCGCTTATGTGATCTGTCGAGTGGAATAAATACGACGGGGGAGAGCAGGGAGGGTTGATTGAGGATTATTATAAAGCCAACGACGTAGATCAAGCGTTCTCCCCGCAATTTTATAGTGCAAATTAGAATTTGTTAAATGAGGAATAGATCGACATTCTAAAGTAATTGACTATTTTTTCGTCTTATACATGCTACTTATAAATTTCAGGAATTGAAATATGTCTTTAAAAAATTTGCTATATTTTTAGCGAAATTTTCGATGTTCCTTAGCAAGATAGACCTTAATGACGTGTTTATTCTTGAATTACTAAAAACACAGTAAAATTAAAAAGAATCTACATAAAAGAACACTATAATATTCTCTCCATGTATGTAAACATGACGTTATGTGAAGCATCGTGTATTATAAGATAGAACACAGTGAGCGTTTGGCGACCGAACTTGAAGCTCGATCTAAATGGAATGAAATCGATCTTGTGTAGCGAAGATAATATTTTACGTGCCAAGATCACGAGATATATCGGCCGGTCGAGGTAGCCATTTATTCGCGCGCTCTGAACTCTCCGAAGCTTTCCGTTTGATCCGCCAATCGAACTCGTTCGAACGAGCATCATATTAACGACTGCAGCATTGTGGGAAGGTAGGTGCGCGCATGCATCCCGGAAAGGGAAGCCGTTGTGGAGCTTCCTACGGTAGAAATACGAGTCCGATCGTTGACATCGATATGTAAAAAAAAAAGAAAAAAGCAGAGAAGAACAGTGACGGTCCTCGGTTACAATATATATGGTTACAATATATACGGATAATTAGACGACACCGAAATTGCCGGTGAAAGAAACCGGATTCACGCTAATGAGCGTCAAATAGCTATCTCAAGTATAGCATATTAAGTTACTTGGCTTTAATTATAAAGCAAAAAACGAGGAGCGCTACGTTTCTGCTACGTATAATGGTTCTCCAAATCAAGAGAGAAACTCGAGAGTTGAAATTTAGACATTCGGAGATGCGGAAATTAAATGGAGAAATTAAAAAGAACTTTATCCTACGAATGTACCCAAATTAACTCATGCTTATTAAAATGTGAAGTAATCAATGACGGAAATGTTATGATCTTTTTACACTAAGATACATATTTTTTGTAAGGACATTAATCGAGGCTGCTCGAGCACGGTTATCGTTGCATTTTCCTTCGACACGAGAGAAAGAGAGGGCGGGTTCGAAAGACGCGGCGGAAGACACTTTCCTCGGATAGAGCTCGATATCGCGTTTCCAGCCGCGGACGTTAACGATCCGCGCCATGGCCATTGCGGCCCGACATAATGTAATGGATGGTAGAAGATTGCGGAGCGAAGCTCGCGCCGCGGCGTGACCGCCATTAGCGCGATATCTACGAAATTAATCTGGTACATGTCCTAGAATAACTTGCCTGTTTACCGACATTTGCATGTGGAAACTACGCCGGCGTTAAGCCTTTGCGTACGCCGCGCGCGAGCACGTCGCGTGTATTAAGGGCTTTCGCACATAGATTGCCGTAACCGTAGATGTGAGGTGTAAACTTAAGTTAAAGAACCAATCGGGATGTTGCTTTAAAATTCTTTTAGTTAGAAGAAGATGGACATGGCGCATATAAGTAGGATTCAAATTGAATAACTAGGATTTTATGAGATGAACCTTAGTTACTTTTGCACACGGTCAGATTTACCAGCCTTCTGCCTTCTTTTAGAGTATACAAAACTATAACAAAATCCTGATTGTTTCTTCAACTAAAGTTTACGTTTTGTGTCTATGGTTACGGGCAATCCAAGTGCGTGTTGAGCGTTGGAGATGTGACACGCTATCGTTTGCGGCGTCCATAACGTGAAATGGCACGTCGTTTGTTGTAATGTCGCGACTGATGCACTCTCAGGGTCGCATGACCGCGTCGTAAATGCGCGCGTTTACCTGGTGGTCCACGACGAGCAAACGTCCGTTAAAATAGCGCGCGCGTGCGAGCGCTCATCGCTGCGCGATTCATTTCTGCTCCGTCGCATCCGCGACATACGTTACTATTACAAAGACAACTTTCTATTTTCTCCCGTCGTAACTCTCGTCTGGATGTCGTCCAGGTGATATTTCGGTGGAGGCACGAGACCGACTGGCCTACTCCGCAAAGACTATTTCCTATTGCCCTATTCATAGTTCGGCAACGGCAACGCTAACATTAGCGTTGTGTCGTTCAAAGTATCCCTCTTTATGCGCGCGGAGACTTCAGCATCCGTTGGATTTATACACAAATACATCGATTTCGCAAGTGCTCGACCATTAAAAAAAAGGAAGTGAAATGAGCAATCGCTTTTGTTAGGCGTAGAATGCTATTTTTCTGTGTGTACAAAGCGTTACGGGACGTTACAAATAGGGAATCGTGTTAATTGAAGGACGCCGTGATATATGAAAATTGCTTTATGTCTTTCCTGAGATACGAGCTGTCGCTTCTTCTCCGCGTCCATTAGTCATAATTCTATTAGTACTTTCACGCGCACGTTAGAAAGAAAGGATAAGATCTCCCAAGTCGAAGGGGTATTTCCCATAAACACGGTAGTCCGATTAGGATGGTCTCTCCTAATCCTCTTAAGACTCCCTAATCTACGCTCGCGACAATCCTGATTTATAAATCCACAGCGGTACGTGTTTACTGTGAAAGCAGGGAAACGTCGACCAGCTGGGTGCCCTTTACTTGTCTATACTGTTACCGAGGCCTCTCGTTTCTCTCGTCTCTCTTTCTCTCTCTTTCTCTTTCTCCCTTTTCTCTCGTGCGCTCCGCTATGTTAAAATCGACGCGTCGATCCTACCTCGTCTGCACGCAATCACCGATAATTATCGGAATTGCTCGTGTAACCCAACAGCAATTTTCTGGGATTATTTTCGTAATTAAGTATTCGAAAACATTCTCCGTGTGAAACGATTTATTTGTAACAAATTGTGAATTTTTTAAATTTAACGACGAGATAATGATAAATTTATGATGATTAGATCAAACTTATTTTAGGAGGGATTATTATTATCAAAAATATTTCGACAATTAATTCTGAAGTAGATACCTAAATAAACAGACAACAACTTTTACTGGTCAATTTTTAAAATTTACTCACATTTTTATCATTCATTTTTATCACATAAAATTAAATGGAAACACTAGAAAAAGATATTGTCAAAATTCAAAAACATTAACATATTTGCTATGTTTCCAGTAAAATTTACCATGTTCCTTTGCAAGGTAGACTGAGATTTCATTCTTGGACTATCAAAAACGTAGTAACATTAGAAAGAATTTATATGAAAAAGAAATTACAATATTCTCTTTCCGTGTATCTGGATATATTGAGATTATTCTCTTCTATAGTTACCTCCAGAATCGTTGTTTTGCATTCAATAACTAAAATTATTAAAAAACAATGTGTGCAGTCAATCGACGAGACGGTTGAAGATGAGTTGACGTCGCATATAACGTGTGTGATGTAAGAAACGCGAGTCTTCCGTGCGGTGCAGAGTAGCAACTTGACGGCACGACTCGTTGACAGATTAAATGCGACACGCGATACCTCCGCAATGTACACGTAGCACTGTCAGTCCCGGTCAGGATCGTGTTTTGCACGCTCGCTCCGTTATTTTTCTGCTGTCTGCGCAGCCTGATTTGCATCCCGTGCTCCCTACCTCTCCTCCCTCCTTCTCTTTTTCGCGCGCGACATTTTGCTACGGAATTTTTTCTACCCCGTATGCGAGTGCACGTGTGTAATGGCATCACTTGCGGTCTACGTAAGGGAGATGACTTATTTTGCTACTTTCCGCGGTTCCGTCTCGACTTCGTCTTTGTCGACGTGCGCGTAACTTCGTATCCTTCGTTTTTCGAAATTTTGCGGTCGCGCATCGGTAACATTGTGGATCGCCCAAGAGGATAAAATTCACTGTCGACCGAGATAACTCGGAGACTTCGCGCTTATTCGCATTTTAGCGGTTAATCGCAAGTTGCGCCGTAATCGGAGAAGTCGCTTCTTCGAACATGCTCGCAACCACCGATACTCTGTCCGCTATCATCGAGATGAGACCAGAGAGACTCGCGATTATAATTCCCGCGCAATCTTGATCGAACGAATCTCGCAATACCAATTGGATTCGGAACGATCGGAGCCCTGGGACGATTACGTCGAGCACGCCGCGATTATTACATGTAAAAGCGTCAATCATGCGGAAACGTCAAATGCCGTAATTACATTTATATTAAACTGTGTTCGCGCCGGAACGCTGTGACCTGGCAACGAACGCATGGCCCGGAATAAGCAAATCCCGGCGCTTCATGTC